GGGCTGATGGCTCAGAGCCTGGAGCCTGTTTCCGATTCTGTGTCTCCCTCTCTCTCTGCCCCTCCCCCGTTCATGCTCGGTCTCTCTCTGTCCCAAAAATAAATAAACGTTGAAAAAAAAAATTAAAAAAAAAAAAAAAAAAAGAATCTCCCTCGATAGATAGATTAGATAGATAGATAGATAGCAACCCTCACTCATTCTCACCCGGTGCGTTCATTCAACTGGTATTTCCTCTGTAACCTACACGGAACCAGCCTGGGTCTCAGGGGCCCGGGACATTCCAGTGGGCAAGACAGACAAGAAAGGAGATAAAGAACCATGCAGTGTGTGGTGATCTACCTAGGTCTGCACGGCCCTGCACAAATGGGTTGACAGATTCAGACAAAGGCTGGCAATGTGGGCACGTGGCCTAAAAAGGCCCCTGCCCGGAAAGCAATGGTTGAAGAAAACAGTAACGGGAGCAGGCAGGAGCAGAGAGAAACGGCCAAGCTGGGGCTCTGTCCGTTCCTGGCACCAGGATTCCGTCGGTCACAGGAAGAAGAAGAAACCCTAGTGATCTCATTCAATCCCTAGCAGAAGGTGGCCAAAAACACGTTCGAGATTCTCAGGAAGACATTTTGAGATATGGAGTCACATTCACTATGGTTAGTTTCACCTCGGTGGATACTTTTCCTGCGTGGGATTCCTACAGATGGGCAAAGCCACCACGGTCAGCAGCATGTGCAGAAATAAGGTTCCCGGGGCGCCCGGGGGGCTCAGTCGGTTGAGCGTCTGACTTCGTGATCAGGTCATGATCTCACAATTCGTGGGTTCGAGCCCCGCGTCGGGCTCTGTGCTGACAGCTCGGAGCCTGGAGCCTGCTTCCCATTCTGAGTCTCCCTCTCTCTCTATTCCTCCCCCCACTCAAGCTCTGTCTCTGTCTCTCTCAAAAATAAATAAACATTTAAAAAAAATTTTTTTTAAAAGAAATAAGCTTCCCAAACAGACGGTTCAGAATGGTGGATATTCTGTAGAACGAGCGATCTGGCTTCTTCTGTGGGCCACTGGGATGGTATAAAGGGTGGACAGGGAGAAAACGCTATTATAGATAAAATAAGACTTAGAGAATCCCCACGTGACCCAGCAGCACACCCAGGAGAGTTGAAAGCAGGGTCCAGAAGATATATTTATAAACCCGTGTTCACGGCAGCGTTATTCACAATCACCAAAAGGCGGAAGCAGGGTCCGTCAACAGATGAACGGATATGCACGATGTGGTACGGCCACACACTGGAATAGTATTCAGCCTTAAGAAGGAAGGGAACTCCAACACAGGCTATACCACGGATTAACCTTGAGGACTATGCTAATAACAAAAGGACAAATACCTAGGATTTCATTTATGTGAGTAGCCAATTTTTTTTTTTTATTTTTAATGTTTACTTATTTTTGAGAGAGAAAGAGACAGCGCGAGTGGGGTTGGGGCAGAGAGACAGGGAGACACAGAATCCGAAGCAGGCTCCAGGCTCCGAGCTGTCAGCACAGAGCCCGACGCGGGCCTCGAACTCATGCACCACGAGATCACGACCCAAGCTGAAGTCAGACGCTTAACCGACTGAGCCACCCAGGCACCCCAAATGCGACCACAAATATGTTTTTCAAAAGACAGAATGATCAAATACAACACGCCCACCTTCCTGATTCAAACAAATCAACTGGGAAAAAGACAAGCAGAGACATTCGACTGTGGAGTGGAAATTAGGTGATATTTTAAGAAATCACTGGGGCGCCTGGGTGGCTCAGTGGGTTAAGCGTCTGTCTTCTACTCAGGTCATGATCTTGCGGTTCATGAGTTCAAGCCCTTCATCAGGTTCTTTGCTCACAGTGTGGAGTCAGCTTGGGATCCTCTGTCTCTTCTTTCTGCCCCTCCTGATGCGCTCGCTCGCTCTCTCTCTCTCTCTCTCTCTCTCAAGAGTAAACAAATGTTAAAAAAAGAAGAGACACCAAAAACCATTAAAATACCTAGGAATAAATCTAACCAAAGAGATGAGAAATCGATACACCGGAAACTATAGGAAGCTTATGAAAGAAACTGAAGAAGACACCAAAAATGGAAAAATATTTCATGCTCCTGGATAGGAAGAACAAATATTGTTAAAATGTCGATACTACCCAAAGCAATCGACATATTTAGTGCAATCCTTATCGAAATAACACCAGCATTCTTCACAGAGCTAGAACAAACAATCCTAAAATCTGTATGGAACCAGAAAAGACCCCGAATAGCCAAAGCCATCTTGAAAAAGAAAACCAAAGCAGGAGGCATCACAATCCTGGACTTCAAGCTGTATTACAAAGCTGCAATCATCAAGACAGTATGGTACTGGCAGAAGAACAGACACTCTGATCAATGGAACAGAATAGAAAACCCAGAAATGGACCCACAAACGTATGGCCAACTCGTCTTTGACAAAGCAGGAAAGAATATCCAAAGGAATAAAGACAGCCTCTTCAGTGAGTGGTGCTGGGAAAACTGGACATCCACATGCAGAAATACGAACCTGGACCACTTTCTTACACCACACACAAAAATAAACTCAAAATGGGTGAAAGACCGAAATGTAAGACAGGAAGCCATCAAAATCCTCGAGGAGAAAGCGGGCAAAAACCTCTTTGGCCTCGGCTGCAGCAACTTCTTACTCAACAGGTCTCCGGAGGCAAGGGAAACAAAAGCAAAAATGAACTATGAGGACCTCATCAAGATAAAAAGCTTCTGCACAGTGAAGCAAACAGCCAGCAAAACTAAAAGGCAACTGAATGGGGGAAGATATCTGCAAACAACGTATCAGATAAAGGGTTAGTATCCAAAATCTATAAAGAACTTACCGAACTCAACACCCAAAACACAATCCAATAAAGAAATGGGCAAAACACATGAATAGACACTTCTCCAAAGAAGACATCCAGGTGGCCACTGACACATGAAAAAATGCTCAGCATCACTCCTCATCAGGGAAATATGCATCAAAACCACAATGAGATACCACCTCACACCCATCAGAATGGCTAACATTAACAACTCAGGCAACAACAGATGCTGGCGAGATGCGGAGAGAGAGGATCTCTTTTGCCCTGCTGGCGGGAATGCAAACTGGTCCACTCTGGAAAACATCTGGAGATTCCTCAAAAAATTAAAAACAGAACTACCCTATGATCCACCAACCGCATTGCTAGGTATTTATCCAAAGGATACAGGTGTGCTGTTTCGACGGGGAACGTGCACCCCAATGTTTATAGCAGCACTAGCAACAATAGCCGAAACATGGGAAGTGCCCAAGCGTCCATCAACTGGTGAATGGATAGAGAAGATGTGTTATATCCATTCAATGGAATATTACTCGACAAGGAAAAAGAATGCAATCTTGCCATTTGCAACGACGTGGATGGAACTGGAGGGGATTATGCTAAGTGAAATTAGTCAGAGAAAGACAAAAGTCATATGACTTCACTCATATGAGGACTTTAAGAGACAAAACGGATGAACGGAAGGGAAGGGAAGCAAAAACAATATAAAAACAGGGAGGGGGACAAAACAGAAGAGACTCATAAATAGGGAGAACAAACGGAGGGTTGCTGGAGGGGGTGTGGGGGGGGGAGGGGCTAAATGGGGAAGGGGCATTTCGGAATCTACTCCTGAAATCGCTGTTGTACTATATGCTAACTAATTTGGGTGTAAATTAAAAAAATAAATAAATGTTTTTAAAAAAGAAGAAATATGCGTGAATGGATGGATGGATGGACGGACCAACGGACGGACAGAAGGACAGGTTTGGTGAGCGGCTAGATCGGTGGATCCGGAGAACATCAGAAGGAACGCGGCTGTAGGCGAATCAAGTTTCATCACATTGCCCCAACGTGCCACCAGATGTCAGCCTAACCTCAGGAAACCGCCTCAGAGGCCAAATTAGCACCACCTTTTGAGGATACAGTGTTCATTGCACCCCTCACGAGCGCACCCTGCACCCAGCTGGCATTTCGAATCCAGGTCTCCCTCCCAGCAGACCGAACATCCAGGGAAGCCTGGGGGACAGCCCTGCGGGGTGCCGGAGACCGTGTTTGTAACTTCCCAGGGGTCAGACGGGGAGCACGGAGTGGGTGGGAGGGGCATTTCTGGGTGCCCAGGAGGGCTTAGCGTCCAGGCCAGCCTCAGCTCCGGTCGCCCTGAAATCTGCACTCGGAATCCCACCTTCCTGACGTCCGTCCAGGAATCCACCCCAGTTTTTAAGCCTTTGCCAAAGAAGCGCTTGAGAAAAGAAAAAAAGCGCCAGCTCTCCTTCTGTACCCGGGACTGGACTGAACCTTCACGCACTGCTTTCAGCCTCAGCCTAGGAAGAGCGACTTCAAGGACAGGATGCGAGCCCAGGGAGGCCTCTCGCCCAAGATCACAGGAGCAGAGCCGGCTCAGAGCCCCGCCACTTCCTCGCCAAGGCGACTCGCAGGAGAAGACCCACTTTCAGGGTCACTGGCAGAGGGAAAGGGGGCCCAAGGCCAGCGCCCCGGAGCCAGCACATCCCCACCCTCCCCCACCCCCCACCCCCACCCCCAGCGCCTCTCTCTGCCTTCAGCACAAACTTCACCTCCAGCCGCCAAACCCTCGGGTTTAGTTCCAGGGCTTCAAGTAGAAATGCGATCCCCGCCCCGGACGCGGCCCCCCCCCCCCCCACCAAAAGAAACCCAGCATTTCTCAGCCAGGTTCAGGAATGCCTCCCACTGGAAAGACTGGCCAACCCCTCCCAGGGGACACCCACAGACCCGGACGCCCTGCCAAGCCTACCAACTCCCCCCTTCGCTGGGGCACCCTGGGCTGCGCGGGGGTTCACGTGGGGGGGAGGAGAGGAGGGGGCTCCCAGGCAGGGGACGGGGCTTCAGCAGCCAGCCTCGCCCTAGGAGCGCGCTCCCGCCCCGGAAGCCACCCCCGGGGGCGCGCCCGCCCCCCACCCGCCGTCCCAGCCCGGACTCACTCCCATTCCTTCCTCCGGGCCTGTGGCGTGCTGTGGACTTTGTGCGCCTGGTGGGCCAAGATGACATCTCGGTGGTCCACCACGCCGCCGCGCCGCTTCAGAGGGGGCCCGGGGCAGGGGCCGCTCATCCGGGGGCCCCGTGCGTCCTGCGGGGCGCCCGCCGTGCCGTCCGCCGCCGGGGGCCCCTGGCCGCCGTCGTGCAGGGCGTCATAACTGCGCGGGGAGAACATGGGATCCGGGACCCGGGAGGCCTTCCACATCCATGGGCCTCGCTCAGAACTCGCAGGGTCTTCGGCCTCCAGCACAGGGCGCAGCTAGAGGGGAGAGCAGAGAGCGGGCGGACGGTGAGCGCGGCGCGCAGCGAGCAAGGACGGGAGGGAAGGGAGCCCGGGGACAGCCGCTGGCGCTGCCCCCGGGGCCGGGGGTGGGCATTTCCTTGGCAACTCGGGCCGGGAAGCGGGTTCTCGGGAGCTGCCCGGCAACCGACGAGGCCCTGATGGCAGGACGCACCGCGGAAGGTGGGACTCTGGGTGGCTCAGCGCCTCGGGGCTCCTCGCTGCAAAATGGGTCATCGAGAGCCTGCTCCCTCCGGCCCCTGGGTGTCGTGAGCCCCACAGAGTCACTGGGAAAAATCAAAGGGCGAGGTCAAGGGTCGGCTTTAAAAACCCACGTGGGGCGTGGCCATCTGTCCAGTGAGCCTGCCTGCTCTTGGCCACCTGGCTGGGTTTTTTATTAGTGTTTCAATATATGAATGGGGGGGGGGGGGGACACAATTGAGTCCATAATAAAGGGTGACAGGAAGTGTTGGATGGGCTGGGGTTTTTTTTATTAAATGGGGGGGGGGGATCAGAGACGGTCTCCCTGAGGGAATGACATCTGAGCAGAGGCCCTAAGGAGGTGATGCAGGAGTCATGTGGGTAACTCAGGGAAGAGTGTTCTAGGTAGAGAGAAGAGCGTGTGCAAAGGTCCTGAGGTAGGGCTGTATATGACGTGCTCAAGGAACAACGAGGAGGCCCCAGCGGCTGTGAGTGCTTGAGGATGGACCCAGCGGCTGTGAGTGCTTGAGGACGGAGTAGAGGAGATAAGGTGGAGAGGTGATGGGAGAGAGCTTGTGGGAACTTTTGGACCGTGGGGAGGACTCTATTTGGTTTCTCCTGGAAGGAGATAATCCACGGCTTTTGGAACGCCCTGGAACACTCCACCCAAGCAATTCTTCAATCTCAAACCTATTTCTCCCACCTGAAAAGTGGCCTCTCAGCGTCCGTCCAAGAAAAGCAGACCCACTGGAAGGCTAGTATGAGTGAAACAGAGTTATGAGGCTGAATCTCACGCATGAATGTTGATAAGCCACCTCAACACCCAGAGATGTAAGGAGAGAGGTGCAGAGGAGGCCACCTCTGGATTGCCAAACAACAACAACAACAACATATGTGGGAATGGAAGCTCATCTTCCCCACCCCCCCCCCCCCCCCCCCAACTATTTCCTGTTTCCTCTCCCCCTGCTGGAAGCATCCAAAGACTGAGAGCTCTCCTAGCCTGTCCTGAGCCGATCAGCTCAATGGCAGTTTAACGTCAACAGTTACCCTCTGTTTTCTTTCCAAATCGTATACCCGATGGGGTTTAATAGATCTCTCCTTCACAATGCCTTTAAGCTTCCATTTACTCTCAGGAAATCTTACGCTAAGTCATCTACAGTCGTGCGTTTAGAAAGCCTTTGGTTTTCCACATGCATTCCCCTTGCGCTGAAAAAACAAATCTGTAATTTCTTCATGAGCATGTACCCGGGGAAGGCATTTTCTTTCCCATTTTACAGAAATACAACTGAGGACGGAAGGTGGATTCAAGTGCCTTGCCACCAGGTTCCATTTCTACCTGCAGAAGTCACCCCTCCCCCCCCCCAAAATATTATTACTGCCTCAGGATTTAAAAAAAGAATCCAGCTTACAGGTTGGGGGTGCTGTAAGGATCCACCACTTAGCTAAAACCCCAGAGACCAGGCACAGCAGAAGCACCTTGATGGAGAAAGTTCTGCGCATCTACAGAAGATGTATTTGCACCTGGGAAGGTGGGAGGAGGAACAGGAAAGACAAAACCGAAGGCACACATCCCGGGTGACATCTTCTGGGACATCCCCCCGCTTGTCCTGCAACCCCAAAACAAGACGCTCCATACCCCCCACCACCCTACAGCGCATGCTCCCGGTCTCCCCATTTCCTTGCAGGCTTCCCCATTTACCATGTAGCCACCCCCCTCCCCCACCGGTTCCTGAGCTGCCTCCACTCCCTGGGTCAAAAGCATCACCAGGTCCCAGCCGCTGGCCTCCAAAAATATATCCTGGAACTGATCAGTTTTCTGGCCACTGCCTGCCCCCTCCCCCAACAACGCTCACTTGGACTTGGGCAGCTGCCTCCCCCCGGGTCAGCGGGCTTCCCAAGTCCCACCCTGTACTCGGCTGGGCAGTCAGTGGGTCCTTCTGACAGTCTTCGGTCAGCACTTCTACTGTTACAGGAATAAAAGCCACACCCGACAGGGCTGTCCCGTCTCCCTGACCTCATCCCTTCACTTCTCCCCTCTGCCTTCCCAGCTCCAGAGTCACGGGCCTCCTCACTATTCCTGGTCTCTGCCGAGCTCATTCCACCTTTGCACCTGCTGTCCCCTCATGTCCGATGGGCTGACTCCCTTTCATCATTCAGGGCTAGGGTCAGATGCAGGCACCCCCCCCCCCCCATCGTATCCTCCAGTGGGGTCTTCCTCATGGGGCTGGTCAGTCTCTGGGACTGGGACCTATGTGTAGCCTTGGATAACATCTGCCACCCCCAAAGGATGTCAGCACCACGGAGGAAAGGATCACGACCTGTCTTGTTGGCGTCGGGTCCCTGCCACCTTAAATATTTCTTGCCTGGATGAACGAAGGGTCTTAGGAAAGGGTCTCCCCAGCAAGACATCATGAAGCGCCTTGCGACTGCCTGGGGTCCAGGGCTCCACCTACGGAGGGAAGGGACGAAGTATGGTGGGAAAGATGCCGGGTCCTACCCCAGCACACGACCGACTCGCTGTGTGGTCCCCAGCAGTATGCTCAACCTGCTTCCTCCTACACAACGTGGAGGTGATGGTGAGTGCCACGGAGAGCCACAGGGGTCGGTGAGCTAACCCGTGGGAAGACAGCATCCTGAGCACAGCGCCGGGCCACGGCAAGTGCTTGGTCAGCAACGGCTCCCTCGTGTTGATATCGGGGCAGGCAGGCGGAGCCTGGTGGCAGAGGGGACAGCTGCCCGAGCGACACCATCCAGCGTGCTCTGCGGTGCCCTCGCGAGCGGTTCCAGCGGGGCCCCAGCTGTTCCGTGTGTACACACGAGAAACAAACACATCCCCGACCAACGGGCACTTGCCGGCCGGGTGTCTGTCCCTGGCACCTGCTGGGCCCCCTGGCCAGGTGTGCTGTTCCCCCTCTCTGTTTGCCCAACCACTGCCCAGAGGAAATGGCAAAGCATATGGGGTTTGCTTCCCCCTGGAAGCAGTGAACAGACAGCGCAAAGAGAAGACAATGGGGGAGAAAAGCAAACAGAAGAAAATAAGGCATGAAGCCCGAGGCCACAGAAAGGCCTGTTGTTAATGTCACAGGAATAGAGTTTTACAAAGCACCAGGCATGCTCGTATCCACCACAGCCCCGAATCCCAACTGAAGAGCCACCTGAGAGGGGGGACTGACCCCCTACTGCCATGCCTGGACCAGCCTGGGTTTCCATGGCAACCGGATGGTGCCCGGAGATGCCACGATTCATAGAGGCTGGTACTGGTGCTCGGGGGAGGGAGGAAGGAGGGAGGGGGCCGCAGGGAAGTCTGGGGGCCTCCTGTGACCCCCTGCATGTGGACAGGGACATTTACACAGCTGTGCTGGCCACCAGGCTTCACCGCCCGTGGGCGAAGTAAGTGCTAATAACAGGTAAAGCAGCTTCATCTCTGGGGAAAATCCGTAAAGGTACAGCAAGGAAGCAAAAAAGCAAAGGGAAACTATTCCCTAAAACTTCTCAAGCTCACCACATACGTTGGAAAGACACACGATTCTCCTAAATATAGATAGGATGGGAACTGAAAAATGCCCCAAGGGGGCGCCTGGGTGGCTCAGTCGGTTAAGCGTCTGACTTTGGCTCAGGTCATGATCTCGCAGTCCACGAGTTCAAGCCCCGCGTCGGGCTCCGTGCTGACCGCTCAGAGCCTGCAGCCTGTTTCGGATTCTGTGTCTCCCCTCTGCCCCTCCCCTGCTTGTGCTCTGTCTCTCAAAAATAAAAACATTAAAAAATTTTTTTTAAAAAATCAGAAAGGAAGCGGGGCACCTGGGTGGCTCAGTCAGTTAGGCATCTGACTTCAGCTTGGGTCACGATCCCACGGTTCATGGGTTCGAGCCCCGCGTCATGCTCGGTGCTGACAGCTCAGAGCTTGGAACCTGCTTCAGATTCTGTGTCTCCCTCTCTCTCTCTCTGCCTCTCCCCTCCCCCACTCATGCTCACTCCTCTCTCTCTCTCTCAAAAATAAACATTTAAGGGGCGCCTGGGTGGCGCAGTCGGTTAAGCGTCCGACTTCAGCCAGGTCACGATCTCGCGGTCCGTGAGTTCGAGCCCCGCGTCAGGCTCTGGGCTGATGGCTCGGAGCCTGGAGCCTGTTTCCGATTCTGTGTCTCCCTCTCTCTCTGCCCCTCCCCCGTTCATGCTCTGTCTCTCTCTGTCCCAAAAATAAATAAACGTTGAAAAAAAAATTAAAAAAAAAAAATAAAAAAAATAAACATTTAAAAATTTTAAAGACAAAAATAAAAAATAAAAAAAAAGAGAGAGCAAAGATATAACACCTCCACATGGACGCCCTCCCCCCACCTCTTCTCTCTTACTCTCTCTCAGTCTTTACTCTCTTCCATTTGTTGTTTGAGCCTCTCCCGGGTGGTTTCACTCCTTCCTGTCATACAGCATCTTAATCTAGCCCTGGACAAAGAAAGGTTGCTAAGTCCCCGCGGAAACAGTGTCCCCTCCAGAGTCCTAGGCTGAAGAGTGTGAAATTCAGCAGACCGTGGATTCTAACAGCCAGGATGACGGTAATCCAAATGTCATTTTCAGCCGACCTTCAGACGCATTTGTCACCTTCCGGATGATGGTTTACTGGGCTGATAGTAACAGTGATTTCCGAGCCCTGAGCAAACACTCTCCCGAGCAGGTAGCCAGGGATGGGGCGGGTGTTACGCCTCTGCCCCGGAGTAAAAACTCACAATAGGGAGGAATAAAAGCAAAAATCAAGAAGTTGGAACTACATCAAACTAAAAAGCTTC